AACACAAACAACAATAAATGTTGGTGAGGATGTGGGATACACTCATACATTGCTGGTGGGAATGCAAATTGGTGCAACCACTATGGAAAGCAGTATGGAGATTCCTCGAAAAATTTGAAATGGAACCACCATTTGGCCCAGCTATCCCACTTCTCATTTTATACCCAAAGGATACTATAGTGATGCAGCCACAGCAATGTTTATAGCAGCTCAACTCACAATAGCTAAACTATGGAACCAACCTAGGTGCCCTTCAACAGACTAATTAATTAATTAAATTTTTTTAATTTTAGACACACACACACACACACACACACACACGGGAATATTACTTAGCTTTAAAGAAGATTGTGACTTCCACATGAGAAAAAAAAAAGATTGTACTTAATGCATTTATTTATTTTTATTTATTTATTTTGCTAGGGATTGAACCCAGGGCTTTGTACATGTGAGGCAAGCACTCTACCAACTGAGCTATATCCCCAGCGCCCTCAACTTATTTTTGAAAGGATTTGTTTCTTTCTTTTCCTCTCTCCTTCCTCCTCTCTAATCTTTTCCCCTTTCTGATCTCTGAAGAAACAGGATTATCTTTCTTCTCAATCCTTGGCAGAGTTACCTGTCTTTGAGCCAAGGAAAAGTAATTCAAACTTTGGGGATGGCAACAGAAGATCTCAGAAATAACTTATCTCCCAAATTAACAACTCCAGTCAGAACATGTGAAATGTAGCCTTTGAATCACCCATCTAAAAGCCCTCTGCTCCCCTTGATGGGCAGAATCACAGCCTCTGGGATGGAAGTCCCTGTGTGTCTCCTTTGGTAGCAAAGCAATAAAACAACTTTATAATTTTTCTCAAAAAACATTTTATCATTATTGGTTTGGCAATGGGGACAAGGACTCCCCAGGGAGTGGCACAAACTTGTAATCCCAGCGACACTGGAGCCTGACACAGGAGGACCACAAGTTTAAGACCAGCCCCAGCAACACAGGGAGACCTCTCAGTAACTTGGTGAGACTCTGTCTCAAAATTTGAAAAACATTAAAAAGAGTTGGGATGTAGCTCAGTGGTAAAGTGCCTCAGGGTTCAATCCCTAGTATTAAAATAAATAAATATTTTAAAAATAATAAAAATCAAAGGCTGGGTTTGTGGCTCAGTAGTAGAGTGCTTGCCGCGAATGTGTAAGGCACTGGGTTCAATTCTTAGCACCACATATTAAAAAATAAAATAAAGTCCATTGACAACTAAAAAAATTTTTTAAATAATAATAATAATCAAAAGCCCCCTTAGGGGGCTGGGGTTGTGGCTCAAGCGGTAGCGCGCTCCCCTGGCAGCACCACATACAAACAAAGATGTTGTGTCCGCCGAAAACTAAAAAATAAATATTAAAATTCTCAAAAAAAAAAAAAAAAAAGCCCCCTTAGGGTAAAGTTGATTTAAAATACTAATCTTCTAGAAATTTGATCTTCTATATTTAAATGAAGGTATACATGCCAGGCACAGTGTCATAGGCCTGTAATCCCAGTTTCTCAGGAGGCTGAAGCAGGAAGATCACAAGTTCACAGCCATCTCAGTAATTTAACAAGGCCCTAAGCAATTTGGGAGCTCTGTCTCTAAATAAAATATGAAAAGAGCTGGGACCTAGATGTCCATCAATAGATACGTGAATAAAGAAATCATAGTATATATACACAATGGAATATTACAGAGCATTAAAAGAGAATAAAATTATGGCATTTGCAGATAAATGGATGGATTTGGAGAATATAATGCTAAGCGAAGTATGCCAATCCCCAAAGGCCAAATGTTTTCTCTGATTAGTGGATGTTGGGGATATCTGATTAGTGGATAATGGTGGGGGGGGTGCGTGGGAAGAATGGAGGAATTTTGGACTGGGCAAAGGGGAGGGTGGGGAGAGGAGGGCGAAGGCGGCAGGAAAGATGGTGGAATGAGAAGGACATCATTACCCTATGTACACATAAGATTGCAGGAATGGTGCAACTCTATGTTATGTACAACCAAA